GTTGACTAGTGGTAGAAAATGTTATGCTACACTTCTGACACAGATACACTGAACTTCCGCTGCTCGAAATCTTTATCTGGCTCGAGATAAGAGCGTAATTGTTCTTCCTGAGGGCCAGTGGCATTTTTCAAATGTTGGAATTTTGGGGGCCAATCTTCAGCTTCAAACTCATCAGTTCCAGATCTGATTGACAGAGCAGCATTCCTGCATTCCTTTTTTGTTCTTTTTTTCTTTCTTTTTATTTTTTCTGTTCTTTTTATTTTTTCTTGGCTGCTGTGACAGCCCCCAACCCTCAAGTACAGATGCATTTCCTGAGCTTTGCATTTCCAAGTCTGTACTCTGGTGGAAGCAAATAAATGATGTTGCTTTGCCACACGTCAGCAATCCTAGATAGGAGAACTGTTTAGAGCGGAAGGCAGTTGGTAAAATGTTGTTTACTGCTGCTTTTTTGTAAAAGTCCCTTTCCAGGGTCATTGTCCAGCACAGCAAAAACTCTCAAGATTTAGTTCCTTTTATTTATGAGGTTTTAGACTCCTGAGGTCTCAGAATTATCCTGGTTTTGTTCTGGACCTTCATCAACCAAGTCTGACAGAAGACAAGCCAATAATTACTTAGGTTTAATTGTGCTTTTCTTCAGAACGTGTAATGATTGATTTTCCTACTCAGAAAACTGTTGACACAAAATAGCAGTGACTAATCTTTTTCTTATTTCTTATTTTTAGACAAGATTACTTTCATATTTAGCCAAGATTACTGAGAATAGATGTGACAGCAACTTCAGTTACATCTGGATCTCATAGATTTTGCTACAGGTAGGAGATAGTTAATAAGAGTAAATAATAGCAATAAAGTCAAGATTTTATTAGAATTATTGTAATTTCTCATAAAAGCTGGCTGACATATTTAAGAAAATGATGGGGAAATCTTGGAACAGATTATCACCCACCCTGCATTAGCCCACAAAGCTGTTTAGTCCAATATCTTGTTTCCAGTAGTAGCCAAAACTGGACGCTTAGAGAGGAAGTTGGTAGAGACAGAGGTAATGTCCATACAGAAATATGTTTGGAAGAAATAAAGCAAGATAAACAAGTACTAGAGATGGAAAGCTCAGACTTGTGATACCTTCTATAAAGACAATTTCAGGTACTTTAGCTTCAAAATTAACTTTGACATTTGTATAAAAAATTTACATGGGTAAATTGTTTAAAATGGCCCCTAAGTGATGGCAAACCTGCATTGTTCTGTCAAGTCTTTATTCATTCCCTCCCAGTTTTGTGCTGACTGCAGAGGACTCTCATGATCCCTCTTTTCAAGACAGGGACTATTTATTTGTGTTCTGATAGCATCTGTCACTGCTGTAGGATGCTTCGGTACATCGAGGTGTGCAGTCCCTGATTAGAATCTGAATAAACTAAAACCAAGGAGACTGTGATAATGGAAGTACCCTGTCCTGGTTTCAGCTGGGATGGAGTTAATTTTCTTCCTAGCTGTGGCTGCCCCATCCCTGGCAGTGTTCAAGGCCAGGTTGGACAGGGCTTTGAGCAACCTGGTCTAGTGGAAGGTGTCCCTGCCTGTGGCAGGGGGTTGGGACTGATGGTCTGATCTTTGAGATCCTTTCCAATCCAAGCCATTATCTGATTCTATGTTTCTATGATTTCTCAGCTCCTATGGCTGCCACATTTGTCCCAGCTCCCAGGTATCTGAACGATTCTCTTAGTTTGCTGCTTATTCTTAGGTGTTTTTCTTCCCAAGAGCAACCCTAGGCTCATTAAATACACCTTAAATGCCACATAAATTAAATCTAACCTAACAAACAGACAAAGTTTTGAAAGAAAGTTGTAAGCTGCTCTTGATAGACATCCAAGTCCCTCAGTTGTTTTAATATCTCAGCTACACTGTGGGCAGAAGTTACTGCTTCCGAGTTCATCCTCTTAGTTTCTCTGCCAGCAATGACTTGGGAATTTCTCCCACCTCAGGTGTCCAGGCAGTGATGTTTTCTGGTGAGATTATTGAGGCAGAAAAGTCTGTCCTTACTAGCTGATTCAAGAGTATTTGTCTCTTTTTCTCTTATGGTGATAGGCTACAGCAGATGCCAACTGTCATGAGCATCTCGGAAGGGGAATTCTGTTGTGTTCCTTTTAAACTAGAAGTCCTGGTAAAATAAGGGTGACCAGCACTGAAAGTCCCAGGTTCATCAAAGCAGCTCTTATTACTCCAGCAGTGTTGCGCAGGTGGTTACAGCATCCACCTGGTTTCATGAGCAGTATTCTTCTGGCGTGGTTGTACAAGAAAATAACGTGCCATCTTGACAGAGCTACAGTTTTTTAAAAAGATATTCCCCGAAAATGTATAAATGGCCTCAAGAAATTTTCTGAACTGGGAAAGGCTTTATTGTGTGTAATAAAGAAGACAGAATTATGCTATTAGAAATCTTTGAAGCAGATGTTCTTTTTTTTTTTTTTTTTCTTTGCCTTTATCGCTGTTAGCAAGGGTTTAGCTGGAAAATTAAGGACACTGGTATTTACAGAACTGGAAGGAACTTGTGGAAATGTCTCATACTGATACTAAAACCAGATTGCAAACAGCGAATTACATCCGCTTTCTCATTGAAAGAGCCGTATAAAAGTAATATTGTAATAAAATAAGGAATTACCCTTCCCTCAGAATGGTAGACCCACCTGTGGGACAGTGGAAAATGTGCCCCCGTGTACAATTTGTTACTTAAAGTAGAATGAATCCTGTGAAAGCTCACACTGCGCTTGAGGCTCACAGAGGGTGGGTGCCTGTGTGTTGTCCTCCATATGCTCCGCATCCCCACGCAGTCAGTGAAGGCTGCAGCACGCTGCTGGACCCACTCTGGCAGGATCTTCCATTATCCCCTCCATCACCACAGTTTAAATTCTCTTACCCTAAAATTATTGGGAATACAATGTGGTATTTGTTTTCTCTAAGAGCACAGTGTTTAAGGAAACTGTCCTCCCAAAGGAAAAAACCCAGCTAATGCATCCAGAATCGGTGAAGCGGGAGCTGCTGCTGCTGACAAATACCAGTTTGCAAAAGCAGCTTTTATTGTAGCTGCCTCTCTCACAGCTGCCAGATTGTTTTGTGGTGAGCAGGGCAGGAGAATGCAAGCTGGTAATGAATCTTTGGGGGAAAAGCAGAGGTTTGCAGTGTAGATGTGGGCAGAGCATTCCTTGCATTCGGTCAAGAAGAAGTAAGTAGGGAGATAAAGGGGCAGAGGGAAAGGACTGTTAATTAACTGCTTGTTACCACAGAATGAATTGATATGTTCACTAGCAAAAGGAATGGATTCCAAATGAGCCACGGTATGGCACATCTGTCGTCTTCCTCTACTTTTGTAACCCTATGTCTGCTATTTTCTATAGTGACAAGTTCCTTTTCCAAAGGAGCACATTCAGTACGTATCTGATGGCCAAATAATTTCTTGTTATGATGTTATATTTAGAACAATATTAACATTAAACATGCAGCATAGTTATCTCTGGGCAAATTTGGTCTGAGTGAGGGCTGAGCACTGAAGTGCTTTGGAATTCAAATCCTCCATGGAGAAGGGATGCAGGAAGACATACAGGGAGTATATTCTTTGTGATTTTATATGCTTGACAGCCAGGTGATTTTCTTTGTTTGATTCACTGGATTACTGGGTTCTGAAAATTGTGGAGTGAAATCAGCTGATGACTCTTAAGGCAATTCCTGGTGTTCATGCATCTGGAACAGGAGCAGGCTCCATGCAGCTACGCTGGGAATGTCAGGGAAGGTGAAAGCTGTGGATGCTGTTGGGTCAAACACTGCCTGGCTGTGCTGTAGAAAACTGGAGCTCGCAGGGATTCATTTCAGTATTACCTGCAGTAAATTGAACTGAGAGATTTAAAATTTACATTTAAAAATTTAGATTAAAAAATCATTTAGATTAGTAAATCTAACTAAAAGATTTAGGCCAGGTTCGTTTAGACGAGGGCTTTGAGCAACCTGGTCTAGTGGAAGGTATCCCTATCGCCTGTGGTAGGTGGGTTGCAACTCAATAAGCTCAAGAGTTGCTTCCAGATCAAACCATTCCATGATTCACTATACAAAAGTGAATGCTAAGATGATGGTAAATATAAACCTATGAAGATTTCAATCTATGATCCAAGGAAGCATGTAGGGAAGCATGGCATTTTTCTCCATTGTGTTCTGCACAGGTACTGCATTGTCTAATGTGCAAATTGAGCTTTTATCTGTACACAGGCAACCCTATGCTTTTTTGTGAGTCTCATTTTAAAGGATGATGGATGTATTTGGATATCACTGGAGGGTAAGCGTAGGCAAATATTGATTCTCTGATAGCAGCTGCTTTAGTTCTTCTCTCCCAGCACCTTGAATTCACCAGCTGAGCTGCCTGGGAACATCCTGTCTGGGCTCTTGGGTCCTCCTGCTCACTGCAGTCACAAGCACTCATGGGCTGGGTGGCCACAGCAGTGTGGTACCAGGAAGCTCTAAGGGTTTAAAAACACCAATAATGGCAGCATCAGTCCGATGCTGTATTTTATAGGGCAGTAAGGAACATGAGGCTCTACCCATTTGTTTTTTTTCCAACTAACTTTAAATAAAATCAAACCCAAACAGGTGATGTGTGTGGTTGTTGTATAAATGATTGCTGGTTATAATAAATCTTTACTTAATTTCTTTAAACATTTCAAATAATTGCCCTAATTTGAATGGTTCCCACATTTGCTTGAACTACTAGAAAGTGCCAAAAGTCAATTATGTAATGACAAAGGTTAGTTTTATTTTCATTTTAGTGTAACACATGAATTGTGAAAAGCAATTATACTAGACTAAACCAAGCTTTTCAAGTGTCTTTGTGCAAAGCTGTTTCTGCCACTGCTCTTTGGTCTGATGTTGTCACAGAGCACAGTGACTTATTTTTCCCTAGTGCTGGTTTTGTTTCCTTTTTGGGGTTTTCAAATCACTAACTGGAATAAATATTTCTGTTGTAGTCCTCCTCGGCCTCTGACTAACATGAATGACACCATGGTGACCCACATGTCCTCTGGAGCACCTACACCGACAAAAAGGTATGCATGCCTCACAGCGTTGGTTGTTCATTTCTGTGAGAAGCAAAACCAATACAGAGTGTGGATTTTGTATCCCTGGGAGTCTTCTAAGATATTTCAAATAACACTTCTACTTCAAAATGTGTATGCAGCATTCATAACAGAAGGAATTGTTTGCAGTACTTCATGTTGTTCTCTCTCAAGAGTGATTTTCTTTTATTGGAATAGATGTTACTACATGACTGCGACTGAAGAAACACATAAAGAGAGCTAAAAAGGTCTTTGTTTTTCATAGAGTGTTACTTCCAAAGCTGCTATGAGAAAGGCTGGTCGTCTTGTATCGTAGGTCCTCTGCTTACAAAGGGTTATTCTGTTCTGCTGGAGATACCTCACATAACAAGAATGCTGCGTTGTTCTCCCCCCAAACACAGCTAAACTGCCAAAATTCTCTAGAGTTGCCCATGTCTACAAGAGGCATTTAGGTTTGAGTTTAATTTGGGTTACATTTACTTAGCTGTACATACGTAAGTTATTGTATGAATGTACATATGTAAACATGAAAAAAACTAGCTGCATTGTGTATTTGCACTTTTCTTTCTTAAGACATGTTGGGAGAATAGCAAGGTGGTTTGCTGGAGACTTCACTTGTCCAAAGCCATGAATGAATGAATGAATGAATGAATTAATGAATTAATGAATTAATGAATTAATAAATGAATGAATGAATGAATGAAGTGAATATTCCCCAGAAGCTGAACTGTCACTGTTTTAGTGACAAGGTGGCACTCAGGAGTGAAGCCAGATCCTTCGTTTTCAGCAGCAGTCCTTCAAACAGAACCAAGCTAAGATCCATGTACTCTCTACTTTCCTTGTCAAAATAAGTCAGTTATGTATGCAGATTTGAACTGGCTATGTTAAAATTATTTCAAAATCTGTAAATCATTCCATGTAGTGTCTACAAACACCACACAACATGCAATACACTGTATGACTTTAAATATAGGATGTGGTAGAGTCCCCATCAGTGCAGGTTTTGAAGATGAAATTGGACAAGATGTTAGATAATCTTGTTTAAGGCTCCCTTTTCCACAGAAGGTTGGACCAGATGATCTTGCGAGGTCCTGTCCAACCTGGGCTGTTCCATGATTCTATGAAATATGCCTTTTACTGAGTTAGAAGCAGAGCCACTTAGAGAGCAGATGATTCCTAAAGCCAGTGCTTTACAGAGTATTCACGTAGGCAGTCGTTAAGAAACATGACCCATAACATCTTCTCATTCCTTGGGTTCCAGGCAACCTGATGGGCAAGGTCATTTAGCCTCTGTTTGGGGGCCACATTTGTTTGCTGTAGTGCAGACAACAGTTGTCTTCAGATCTCTGTCAGAGGAAATCCTGCTTTAGGCATGCATGTCCCCTGTGCACGGAAGCTTGAAATTTTTCCAGAGTAGCAATGTTTGCCAGGTTCTCCTGCAGCCTCTTCATCCTCTTGCGTAAAAGTTCTTACAGCATAGAATGGTACAATCCTCAGTCAGTCCTGACTTGAGGGCAAGAGTTAATGTGGATAGTGATCACCTAGTTCCTTGGTTTCTACTTTGTTTAACCATCTTTTCCCATTTTCTTAATCCAAACACGATAATACATTTAAAAAATCTCTTAATTTCACAGTCAGCGAGAATATCTTGCCTGCCTGGCAGGAAGAGCTTCCTGATACTGTTCTGTTGTGTTCTGACTCACCAGCATTGCACCTCTTTTCCAGTACGTGACAAGTTTCTGTGCTGGTCATTGAGTAAGATAGGCACTTCTTCGTCTCCTGGAATAACATAGTCCCAGAAACCATTAGTTCCTCTGCTTCTTCTCATTTGGAGATTTCTTTCTTAGATTGTGTCTACTGTGTTGTCTGTAAAAATCATATCTGATCTGGAAGACAGGGACAGTGAAGCTTGGTTCAAGATTATCCACAGCAAGTATCTCTGTCTTTCTTGCTTTACAAAATGCTAGCAGACAGGCTCATGCAAAGTATGAACTTAGCACTGAATATTCTGTAGGAACGTCAATGGAAAGAAACTCATTCAAGATACATCTTTCACATCATCACAGAATCATAGAATCATAGAATTGTTAGGGTTGGAAAGAACCTTAAGATCAAGTTCCAACCCTCCTGCCGTGGGCAGGGACACCTTAGGCTAAACCATATCACCCAAGGCTCTGTCCAGCCTGGCCTTGAACACTGCCAGGGATGGAGCATTCACAACCTCCCTGGGCAACCCATTCCAGTGCCTCACCACCCTAACAGGAAAGAATTTCCTCCTTATATCCAACCTAAACTTCCCCTGTTTAAGTTTTAACCCGTTACCCCTTGTCCTGTCACTACAGCCTCTACTGTACTGTACTGTACTCTATCATCTAACAGCTGTGCTTCTGTTCCTCTGTAGACAAGGCCTAGCCTACCTATTTCCTTAATTTGAGAAGGGTGATGCCATAGAAAATGCTAAGAAAAATGCCTGAACCTTCTGCTTGTTTTCTTGGCCATGTAGACCTTGCAATGCACTGCTGACATAAGGAAAAGGAGAACAGCAATTTTATATGGTATAATGAAGAGAAAGAAAAGCAACAGCTTACGATAAGTAGGTATTAGTAGTAAAGTAACACTGAAGGTAAATACTAATTGGATTATGACAAGACCATAATATTGTCAGGGATTTAAGGTAGAAGAATTTTGTGCTGATATTGTATCCTATCACCCATGATGGCAAGCAGCAGATGCTTAGGCAAGATTACAAGCCGTAAATCAAGTCAGTAAGTGAAATTTTGCTCTTGGCTTTTGTGTTTGCTCCCATCTTGCAGCACTCATCCACTTTCTTCCTGATTTACAGTATATAGGGAGACCAATGCTTTGTAAATCCAGCATCCACAAGTGAGTTTTACAATTCAGTTATAACCCCCTATGAGGAGAAAACTCCTTTTTTATCGTAACATTCATCTGTTCACCTTCTTTGTGCTGACGAAGGTTGATTATATCCCACCTGCTTCTAGTCTAAGAATCCTTGTCTACTTAATTTTTCCTTGCACAGAAGGTAATCTGTAAATCAGATCATGCTAGTTTTCCTTATCAGTACTCTTCTTTCTTCATTTCTTTTTGATGTGGGATGGCCAAAATTGCACCAGTAGTCCACTTTGGTGTTACAGTCCCATATTCTTCCGCTGCATGAGTTGCAGGGATCTGCATTCTTCTTTTGTGGAGACACTGTCCCAAAGGCATGCAGCTAAAGAATTCTTTCTCTTCTCTGATGTGGGTAAGAACATGCATAGATTTGGGTTTGATCACAAGAATATATTGGGTATAGAAACTGCAGTAATCAAGGGAAATAAATTGCTTTTTGGTTGTATTTTGACTAATGCAGACATACCTGAATCAGCAGCATCCTTTAGCTTGGAGCATTCATAAAGAAGCAAGGTCTCTGTTGTTGTCTTTCATCCAAGACAAGATCAGGTAGACCAAAGATAAGACTTGAAGAAATCAGACCTGTTTAGATGTATAGCATGTCATCTATTTCTATGCACCCGTAAACTGTCAGCTACCAACACTTGCTTAAAAAGTTCTTTGTAAGAATCATTTGCTAACTCAGGCCTCACACAGCTGTTAAAGGGAGCAAAGTGAGATCATCAAATAAGACTGGAAGATAACAAGAATGTTATTTTGTGCTGCTTCAGCCACTGAGGACGGTCCTTGGTCACAGTTATTACTGAACAACATACCAGTTGATTGCAAGCAGCTTTTATTTTGAAAAACATTCGAGTAACTATAGGTGATTTGCCATTTAAAAGCACAGAACTTTTCTAGACTCAGATAAATAAGCCATTCCCTCAGCAATTCAAAGGCTACGCTGAGATAACTCAAGATTAAGAATTTTATAGCACTCATACTTTACAAATACCATCCCCAGCAAAGGCTAAGAAGTTGGAACAAACAAAATTTATTCCAATAAAAACCAGGGAAATGGTGTTTATTGAAATAAATGATTCTGCAAAATTATTGTTATGTCATCCTTTATCTACAGTTTGCTCTTCCTTAGAGGCGACACACTCACAGAAGTGTGGAATGGCGCTAGACCAGTCCAAGAACCAATCTTTAGAAATATCGTCTTTCAAATATCATCTTTCAAATATCATCTTTCAAATATCATCTTTCAAATATCATCTTTCTTTCATTTTTAGTCAGGCATTAGGAGAACTCACAGGCAGCAGATACATGGTAGATGTCATCATCTGTGATCACAATACCCACATTAGTACCAGGCTCTTACCCAAGTCCTGGCTCATCCCTCTTCAAGGATCCCACTGTTGCAAAAGGTTACTTCATCTAGCAGATTCTGCAAGAGTTCATGGGAGGAGACTTCTTCTCTCAATACTTTCTTATTCCAAAAAAGAAATGGGGTATTTATCTTGTCCTGGACATGGGGGGAGCAGACAGGCTGCCCCAGGTTCAGGTAGTAATGTTTGCCTCCATCATTCCAGCTCCTCAGGCTCTCAGCGTGCAGAAAGCACACTTCTCCATAACCACTCAACAAGCCCCTGGGGATGCACCTGAGGCTCACAGTGGGACCCACACACATCTCTCAAAAGGTATTGTCATTCAGACTCTGCTTGGTGCCTTTGTTCTTTACAAAACATCTAGTTATAGTGGCTATGTACACCTGTCCAAGTCTAGTCAGGGTTGGGTTGGTTTTAATCACATAATGAGAAATGCAGGTCTTCATCTGAGCTTCTCTGTTGAGCTGAGGTTCTACACAGAGAGATCAGTGAAAGCCATTTCAGATTATACATTTGTCTGATCCCAGTTGTTTCTGTCTCTGCAAGTCTTGCCTGCTGGCACGACTGAGTTGAACTATACTGAAAAGTGCATCTAAAGTAGCATAGATTATCTTAATGAGGGTCTGTCCACACATCCCAAAGAAATGCTGCTTTCCAGGTTTTACTTGATACTGCTAAAACTTTGGCTCTGGTCAAGTATACATATTTCAA